CCATCCCCACATTCCAGAAAAATCCCTCTGACTGGATCCTGAGTGTCATTTATCCTGGAATCCTGGAATGGTTTAGGTGGGAAGGGCCCTTAAATCCCATCCCATTCCATGTTCAGGGACACCTCCCACTATCCCAGGTGGCTCCAACCTTTCCTTGGACACTGCCAGGGATCCAGGGGCAGCCACAGCTTCTCTGAGAATTCCAGCCCAGCCCCTCCCCACCCTCCCAGCCAGGAATCCCTTCCCAATCTCCCCCCCAAATCTCCCCTTTCCCGGTGGGATCCATTCCCTGGGTCCTGTCCCTCCATGCCTTCTCCCCAGTCCCTCTCCAGCTCTCCTGGAGCCCCTTCAGGCTCTGGAATGTGCTCCAAGCTCTCCCGGGATCCTTCCCTTCTCCAGCCTGGCCATTCCCAGCTCTCCCAGCCTGGAGCCAGAGCAGAGGGGCTCCAGCCCTGGCAGCATCACCGGGGCCTCCTCTTGTCCCACTCCCAGATTTCCACGACCTGCCCGTGCTGGTCCCAGAGCTGGAGGCAGCACTTCCCAGCTGAGGCGGCTCCGATTCATCCCAAAATTCTCCCACTTGGCTGAGTTGTGGACACCCCTTTCCCCAGGAAAGGATCATCTCAGCAACTTTTTCCAAGAGGGAAACTCGGACTCGTGCCCTGGTGCTGGTGGGCTCTGGGCTCTTCCCTCATCCCGCAGCAATTTTCCACCTGGAGAAAACGACCCGTTTCTCCTGTTTTTTTTCCCCCACAGTTGTTTATCTTTGCGACAGAGCTTCCAGCCCTTGCCCGAGGGCTCTTTCACCCCTGGACTTTGAGGCGCTCATCATTTTTCCCTTTGTTTTGCCTCCCCTGGAATCGTTCCCGGGTGGAATTACCGCGTCACTCGAGAGCCCCGGGCTCCTCAATCGCCCCGTCTGGGCTCGGGCTGGCCGTGCCCTGCCCCGGTGGCCGCCGTCCTCCCGTCCCCTCCGGGTTGGATTCCCCTTTGTCCGCCTCCTGAATTATTCACGGGGTGGAAAACGAACCGCGGGCCGTCCCTTTGTCCCTTTGTGTGGCCCCTCCGCAGTCCCTTTGTCCCTTTGTGTCCCCCCCGCAGACGAACCCGCGGTGCTGGAGCCGGAGGAGCTGGACAGGAGGGCGCTGAGGGGCGGGGGGGGGCTGGAGCCCGACACGGTCTCGCTGGCCTCTGTCACCGCTGTCACCACCAATGTGTCCAACAAGAGGTGAGGGCACGGCCCCCCAGCCGTGTGTACCTGGCATCGTCCCTGTCCTTGTCCCTGACATTGTTCCTGACATCGTCCCTGTCCTTGTTCCTGTCCTTGTCCCTGAAATCATCCCTGGTGTTGTCCCAGAAATCATCCCTGGTCTTGTCCCTGAAATCATCCCTGGCGTTGTCCCTGTCCTTGTCCCTGTCCTTGTCCCTGTCCTTGTCCCTGTC